TGGGAAGGGAGGATGTGGCAGTGGGAGGCAGGAGACCCTGGGCTCTGCTGCCCTTGGGGAAAGATTTCAGGGACAGCTTTGCTCTCCATTTGTTGGTGGAGCTGTGGCTCAGGCCTGCCCATGTCCTCTGTGGGTGTCCTCTGTCCTCTGTGTGGGTGGTTCTCTTGTGGTCATCCTTTGTTTCCCCGTGGGTAATGCCAGGAAGGAGGGGACGACACAGGGGCCCATGGCCAAGCAGACTTCTCCTTGGCACATGAAGGGAATTAGGGGGAAGCTGACATGTGGGAGGGTACCCACCAGGCCCTTGGTGCTGAGGTGGTCATCAAACGTCTCTACCTCCACATCCAGCCAAAGCCAAGCTCCTCTCTCAAAGAATCATATGCTGGGTGCTGACTGTAAGTCCAATATCGCCCCCTGGTGGTCATGAGGAGACCTGTGGCCAATGTCAGGGTCTGTAGCAGGGAAGCTGCACAGGGTCTAAATGCAAGAGCTGGCCTATGACCGCTGGGCACAGATGGCTCTAACTTATAGGCTGCACAGTGTGTTCTGTTCAGAGCGTCTCCAGGATGCCTCAAACCGAGTGCAGGGAGAGTTTGGGAAGGGATGGGAATTGTCTGGAGGACTCCTGCTCAGAGTTGGGAGAGCTTTGCACCCGGGGATGGGCAGCCGCAGGAGGAGCCATCTGTCCCAAGGATTCAAAGGAAGGACATGGGTGGTATCTCTTGAAGAAGATCATAACCAAGATGGTGCACTATTAGGAATCCATGGACTCTCTTGCCTTCTGACTTTTGGTTAGAGTTGTTTTCATTTTATTTTCCCCTGTGAGATTTGCAGGCATGTGGGAGGCTTTTATTTCTACCTGGCCCCACAAATGACCAACCTGAGCACAGGTGACCCCTGCAGACCCCATGACTAGCACCCAAGGCTGGCAGTGAGCAGGGAGTGGGCTAGGAGGGCTGTCCCCTCTCTGTGCTGGGACAGGGAAGGTGGATGGAAGAAGAAGGCTGAGGATTTTGTTTGAGGCGGGGGAACACGCAGGTTTGGATTCCCTGGAGGGGTGGCTACCAGGCCACAATGCAAAAGTAGCACCTGCTGTCACAGGGAGAGAAGCAGGGAGGTCGCTATTCTGACAGTAGCTGTCCTGGGGTATAAAGTAGACTGGGAGTGACCTCCAGGACAGATTGTGAGGTCAGGTGTGTTGATTGTGTCTGACCCATTCATAGGGCCAGGGCTGGCTCTATATGAGCAGAGTTGCCTCAATGGATGGGGTGAGATGGGAATGAGGACAATAAGATGACATGCCTGGCTTGGAGGGGCTCAGCTTGACACAGATTCCCAAGTGTGAATCTGTGGCTCTGGGAGCAGGGTGCTATGCTCTGGAGGTGCCCAGGCTGGTGTGGTTTCCAGGACGGGACCCATCGGGTTTTAGGCTGCAACAGCGACCTGAGAGTCAGGGGACTTGTGCTTATGTGCACACACTCCCTGGAGCCTCCAGAAAGCAGCTGCAAGGACACCTTGGTGTCTGCTGTTCCCTGCCATTGTGTTGGAGCCCTATGTTGGAGCCACTGTGTTGGAGCCCTATGTTGGAGCCACTGTGTTGGAGCCAGTGTGTTGCAGCTGCACCAGGAAACCAAGGCAAGAGAAGTCACCATGTGGGACCTGATGCTGTGTTCATGCAGGATGAGCCTCACTAGAGCTGAGTCACATTGGAAATTCCAATGGTTTCTTCCTACTCCTCATCTGAGGGCCCACCACTCTAGGCATCAGCAGAGTGTCCCCTGAGTTTAGTACATGGACCTCTTATTTCCAGGCGTAGTGCCTGATCCAAGGGAGCCTACCTGAGAACATCACCCTTCCAGCCCTCAGGGAAGGAGTCAGAGCAGTGGCCAGGTGTGTGGAGGAGGCTGCAGTGGACATCCTGGGCCCAAGTTCAGGGAGGAGACCCTCTGTCCCATCACCATGGAGCCTGGAGAGCCCCATGTGGGAGCCCTGAGACTCTGCCCTGGGTGCTGGAGGGTGGAGAGGAGGCTGGTCCCAGAGACACCAGGCAGGGCAGAGTGGAAGGTGATGGGAGGGCAGGGCTGGAGCCTCGGGCAGGGCCTGAGGCCCTTGTTCAGGGCCTGAGTCTGAGTCTGGCCCTGTCCCCTGATTACTCTGACAGCCTCAGTCTGTGTCCCAGCCGAGTTGAAGATGTCCTGAGTACTGGCCTTTGGGAAGAGAAATAATCAGTGACCAGAGCTAGCCACCATGGGTCCCTGGAGCCTGAGGGCCACTGAGTGCTCTGCTGGCTGCAGGGCCTGGGGACCCTCACCCTTCCCTGTGGACAGACACGACCTTTGCCCTGGTCCCACCTCCCAGCTCCTGTCTCCCAGAAAGAGAAACCTGTGGGAACAACTTAGAGACCACGATTCCCCTGCGTGACACAGGAGAGAGCTGACCTGGACCCTGAGGGGGGTGTCTGCCAAGAGACGTTCCCACAGGAACCAAAAGAGCGAAGGAGGGAGGGGGTCTTTATTCAGCGCCTTTCCAGGTGACCCACAGGGGAGCTTCCCTCTCCCTGGAGCCCCTGTCCTGGGCACAGGCAGCCTGATTCTGGCCATTGAGAGCCCAGACAGCCTTTCTAGATCTCCAGGAACCCAGGGACCCCATGTGTAAGAGTCTCCCAGGGTTCAGGTTCCACCTCTGCTCCATCTCCCAGGGTCCAGGTGGAACCCTCCCTCAGCCCATATGGAGCATTGTCTGGTGGCAACTATGAAGCCACGTGAGCTTTGTGGTCAATACGACAATAGATGTCCACGTTAGGGTTTCGTAATTCCTGAAGAAAAAAAAACACACACACAAAGAGGACTCTGATTCTGTGGCCTTCTTAGAACAAGGACCAGGGACACCTTGACTCTGGCCCCCCTGGGACTGCTCTGTGCCTGTGCCTGCCTGAGCTGAGAGGCTCCTGTTCCCAGGCCCCTCCCTCCCCTGCCACTACCCAGATCCTGTTTTGGCTGCTGCTTTTGGAAAGCTCAGGAAGATGTGGAGAGGGGCAGCTCCTAGGTCCCTCCTGGACTGTGGGCCAGGATGTTCATCACCCACACTCACCTGGTAGATGGGAACTGCAGATTTGTGGCCAGGGACAGGGGACTGGACAAGAGAAGGAGAGTGGACATCAGGGTCAGCAAGGGAGGGTCAACAAGGCTAAGAATCCAGTGAGCAGGTGCTGGGCGGTGCTCACTGACAGGCCAGTTTTTACTTCCCTGTGTCTGCCTTATTCCTTTCTTCTCAGGAGGTACCAGCTCTGGGTCCTGAGCATCAGCCTCCACTTCTGGACAGACACCCCAGTTTCCGCCCAGATTCTCGACCCCCATCATTAACCCAGGACCACTGATAGAAGCTCCCTGCACCCACTATGCACTTTCTGGCCTCCAGGGCTCACTGAAACACATGGAGAAAAGCAGGATGGACTGAGGACAGAGGGACAGTGATCTTGTCCCTGAGAGTGGCCAAGCCTCTGGCAAGAGTCAGGCTAACCTTGTCCTGGTCCCACATGAAAGGGGGTGTCTGTGCTGTGTAGGGGTTGACAGTGACCCTGCCCTGAGCCTGCTTAGGTGGGTCCCCTGTGTGGAGGAAGGTGGGGGGACTTACCAGGAAGATGGAGCTGTAAGAGGGACCTTGGCCTGGGGGCAGAGACAAGAGTTAGCAGGAGGGTGTGAGGAGGGCTGGGCCCCTGCCTTTAGAGGCTCCTGTTCCCAGTCCCCTCCCTCCCCTGCTCAAAGCAGCAGCCAAAACAGGATCAGTGGGTGGTGAGCAGGGGAGGGAGGGGCCTGGGAACAGGAGCCTCTCAGCTGGGAGTCCTCAGCTGACAGAGTGACAGGGCAGTCAACCTGTCCTGAGAGAGACCCTGTAGCCCTTTTAGAGTCCCAGGGAGCCAAGGAACCTGAGAAGGTGACCAGATGCCACAGGTCTGGGCTGAACTGGCCAGATGGGTCCGCTGCCTTGAGTGTTTGATGACAGGGCTCCTTGAAGCCCCAGGGAAAGATCCCTATCCTGGAGAGGTGTTTGACTGCAAGAGTGGACACTGTGGGACAGGCCTAGGGGAGGGGGCACTCACCATGTGGTGATGCTGGGGTGCAGGGGTCTCTGAGGCCTTGCTGGACACGGCCCTAGGAAAGGTCAGGGTTAATCATGAGGGTGCAGGAGAGGTCATGGACTGGGGTCAGATAGGGGATGAGGAGGGTACCCCATTTCCAAGGAGGGTGTGAAACCTTCCTCTCCCCATCAGGTCTGTGTACCAGGGGGCCCAGGGAGGGGAGGGGACGAAAGGCCTTAAGAAGCCACTTCTGCCCTGGGCCAGAGGTGAAGGCCCCTCTGAGTTGCAGACCCAGGGGAACCTTGCCTAAGGGACCCAGAAAAGGGTCTAAAGAATCAGGACCAATTAAAGCAGGAGGGTTTGACTGAGTAAAAGGGTCCATGCCCTGGGCAAGAATCAGGGTCACCAAGTGGGTAGGACATTGTGGGAGCAGTTTGTATCTTGACCCTCTCTGACCTTGGTGATCCTGCTGTAGCCAGGCCATTTGCTCAGGCCAGGAGATTTTGAAATATGACAGTGGCCTTGACCTCTCTCCACTCACCTGGCCAGGAAGCAAAGGATATTCTAGGACACACTATCCTGGCTGGGCCCCAGAACTCCCACCTCCATATCAGGGGCCACGGGTAACCAAGAAGATGTGGGGAGCTGACCCCACCAGCTTATGCAGAGTGACCTGGGACAGGACCACCCCTCAGTTACAGAGCTTCGCCCCTCAATTGGTGTGGGTGAAATAAACTGCAGGGTGCTGTTTTTGAACACTAATCTGTCTCAGGATGTGTTCTGTGTGAGGGAAGGAGGACAGTGCTCTGGGGACAGATCCCTAGTGACCAATGTGCACAGAGGAAGCTGTTGTGGCACCAGCCCAGGGTCAGCAGCTGGTGAGGCAGAATGAGTGGGAAGAGTCCTCGTGAGATTCGGAGGTCAGAGTCAGGCCAGAGTCTGAGGACGGGCCTCCTTCCCTCAGGCCTGGGGTCACCTGGGTGGGATCAGGTGGGGGAAGCCTGGGTACCTTCCAGTTCTTGTGTGGAGCAGGAAACACCCCAGAGCGGCCACCAGAGCCACCCCGACCAGGACCCCAGTCACGATGCCAGCGACGGCCCCCACAGGGAGGCCTGGGGTCCTCTCTTCTGCTGAAAGAGAAGAGAAAGGGCTGAAGGTCAGGTCTTCAGGGAACCAGCTGGGCCCTGCAGGGGCCACACAGGGTGGAAGGAAATGGCATCATGTCCCAGTGCAGTTTGTCACGTTGTCACCATGTCCTCCCGACTCTGCTTCTGGCAATTTCCTCACGTTTGGTCTGACACCCTGCGTGTCCGCTAGCCTGACCCTCTCCACATGGAGCTGGGCCACACCCGGCTCTTGTTCCTGTTAAGGGCTCTTCCTCTTTTCTTCCTTCCATCTCAGGACAGTGTCAGCGGGCAGCCCTCACAGACTGTCTAGCCCAGGCCTAGCCTCGGGTACAGATCAGAACCAAGGTGACATCAAGGCCCCTAATTTCTGGGTAGTCAACCACATTCTCTCCAAGCTCTGGCATCTACCCCATGCTCATGGCTGGTGACATATGATGGCCCTTGACAGTGGAATGTGTGACGGAAGCACTGGGTGGGACGGGGGCCACTCACAGATCACAGCCAGTCTGTAGCGGTCACTCCTGGTGGAACTGGCGGGGGTGGAGGCCTCACACTGATACTCCCCGGCATCCTCCTGTCTGACGGGGTCTATGCTGAGGGTCCTGTGGTCCGGGGACAGCTGCATCCTGTCTGTGAGCTGCAGAGTCTGGCTATTGAAGATCCACGTGATGGAGATTCCAAGGTCACCTGAGAAGCAGGTCATGGCCACAGAGTGTGGTTCTGTGTTGGTGGCTCTGAGGGAGGGCTGGGCCACAAGCCCTGTGGAAAAGCATCAGGGGGCTGACTGACAGCGGGCCTGAGGCCTGGGGCCCTGTCTGTCCTCAGAGACGTCTGCCTGTTCTCAGGGTCCCTGTCCATCTGTGCTCACCACACCTAGTCCCAGGAGAAGGAGATGCCCAGGTGCCCTTGCCCAGATGTGGCTCCTGGGACTGTGTCCTGGCTGGTGACCACCTCCAGGAGCTACCAGATCAGGTGGCCAGTAAATCATTGCTCCCCAGCGGCCCTCAACAGAAAACCAAACTCCAACCCTGGCCACATGTCCTCAGGGTCACCTGGAGCCAGGAGCCTGGGACAGAGGTCTGGGGCAGGAGCTTCCTGGGGCTGACCTTCTCTGTGAGGACTCCAGGGCCCTCAGGCCAGGCCTGACTCAGTCCTGCAGGGTCTTTCTCAGGGCCATGCTCCTGGGAAGGAAACAGGGGCTGGGCTGAGACTGCTCTGCCTGGGCCGAGCCTCCCACCAGACCACCCTGCTCTCTGCCAGTGGATTCAGGCAGAGGACTCGGCTCTTCTGAAGTCTGTCTGCACTGCGTGTTTCCTGCACTAAATGCTCCATCTCCACTGTGGGGACATAATGCACAAGAGGACGTAGGTAGAGGTAGGTCTCAGGGTCCTTGTGTGCACTGGAATTAACCCCTCCCAACACCCAGAGGGCTGGGGCATCACTCACTGTGTACATGGAACTCTCCAGTTGCTAATTCAACCCTAGCATTGGCAGTTACAGTTTGCAGGGTGTAGAATCCTGTGTGGTTCTGTGTAACTTTCTGTAACAGCAGGGACCCATTGGAGTATATTTTCTCTCCACCACTGGATGCAGACCCTAGGATAGTTACTTGTATGGATACTATGTATGATACAATTTCATGTCTGCCATCTGTTGTTTTTCCTTTGAACCAGTTGTAGCCTATGATATTCTGTGATGCATTGTGGACAAGTAGAAGAACATCTGTCCCTTCAGCAGCATTGAAAGGCACTGGTTCAGTAGTGAGCTGGACAGTGGGTTGTGGGTTCCAGAAGGTTAACAGTGAGACTAGGAGGGAAGAGAGAGAAATCCATCAATACTGGGCCCTTTATATTGGGTGAAAAGATGAACCAGGTCTTCAGCAGGAGTTCTCATTCTCAGCCTTGGAGTGTATGGTGTGTGTGTTCCTGGGTCAAGGCCAGCAGCATGACCTCCATTCCTTCAGGACCCCTGTACCTGTCATCCTCTCCTAGGAACACCTTTCCCCAGGTGTCTGCAAGGCTGGCCCCTCAGAGCCCTCAGATCCCTGCTCACACCCAGGGCACCTTGGCACCCGCCTCCCCTGACCACCTCCTTACAGACCCCAGGTCTTCCCTGTGGACATTTCCCTGCTCTCTGCCCTCCTAGATCTACACAGCACCTGGCCTCACCTGCAGATCTCCCTCTGGCCTGGCCTCCTGCCCTCTAGAGAGGAAGCTCCAGGAGGCAGAGACTAGTCTGAC